AAGGGCTGGGGCAAAGTCTTGAACACAGTGGTACCCACCACGTTGCCATTGCAAGCATAGCGGCCCAGAGGCCTTGTTGATCTGGACCAAGGCCCTTGTACACCATTGTTTCTGGGAGCTCAGAACGAAACCGTTGAAGGTCATGCTCCAAATCTTCAGATTCTTTGCTCGAATCTACAGGTTTGGAGGCTGCATATCTGGAGGACAGAATACCACCGACTGGGGCAATACGAGGCTAGTCAGCTGGGTGGCCTAGGAAAGGATTTACTCTTCGTATAGCTACGTACATATCTTGGATAAATGGGCCATATATATGAAATAGGCGGTGCGTTCAGGCTTCTCGGAGCGGACCACGTTCTCGAGATCCTCTTCACTCGGCGTCTCAACATCCCAGTCTGAATCCGATATGTGACGAGGCTTGCCGATTGAGCCACTAACAAGGTTTTCCCGGATCTGGATCAAGCTCAGTCAGCAACAGTCAATCGTGACGAAAGAACTTGGCGCATACATAGATAGACCACCAGATCCTCTTCCACCTTGCCGCCGTTTTAGAGTCCACGGACGAGTTTTGAGTCCTATCAGGGAGAAGAGAGGACGGTTAGTTTGTCATAGAGATATCTATGACAACAATAAAACTTACGATCGATGCATGCCAAGGCTCGTTGCAAGGTTCGATGTTATTCCCAGCCAATGCCACGAGTCTTTTGGATCATTGGGACCTCCCCACCAAAAGCTCATCAAAAAGGTGCCCAAAATGATGTCAACTTTGCTAGGCTCTTGATCTGCGTCGTACAGAGCTTTTGCTTGATGATAGTAGATACTCCGCGCGCCGTACCGGCTGACTGATCCATTCTGCTGGAGGACATCTGTGGTGCAGATACTCACGGCGACCATGAGAAGGGCGCTGAGAACTATCAGAGAAGTCTCGCCTGCGTCGGTGGCTCTGCGAAACGAGGACTCGTCGAATATTGGAAAGGCCGGGTGGAAGGCCTCAAAGTAGCAGTCGAGGAGAAGGTGGAGTGTTTCGCGACATGGGAAGTACAGGAGACGTTGAGACCTCAGATGGCTGATCTGACATGTCACAACATCTACTCGGGAGCGTGAATCTGACCCACCATCGCCGTGGCAAGTCAAAGGGAAGTGCAGTCTGTGGGGATGAGTTGATGAGCTGGAAAATAAGGGCCCGATGACATTGTGAACGACATAGCTGAGGCTAAAGGCCTCACCGAGAAAGGCAGTCCTATTGGTGTCGGTGATGGTTGATGTGGAGTTGTTATTTGCACTATTTTCGGCGATGCGGGCATAGAGAAAACCAGGTGATTCAGGCGTGTCTTGCGTGGTAGCCGTGCTGTTGATGTTGGCGGCGTTGGTGTTTCCATCTCCTGAGTCGGCAGCCACAAGAGTCTCGTGAGCGTCAGTGGCGTCGAACTCTGCGCCTCGATGAGAATTCGACGGCGACGCCAGTGCAGGGAGATGGACTATATGCTGCGGCGATAGAGATATCGGTGGTGGGTTTGAGGAACTTGACGAAGACTGTAGTGTCTCATCAGCCTTGTCCACGGTTGAGGGCTTGTTTGGCCTGAGCCGTCTGTGACGCGGGTACTTGCCCCTTCTCGACTCAATGAGTTGGCAATCTGCCCCTGCAGAATCGCAATTGAGACAAGGGACACCGTTTGGTGCTAAACACTTGATCTTGCGGGCATTGCATCGGCGACATGCGACGGCAGTACGGACGGGCATGGTGGAGAGTGAAGACAGGGGCGGAGGCAGACATGATGCGAAGGCGGCTTCTTAATAATGATGCACCAACCTGGCTCTGGCGGTCTACATGGATACGATCTGAAGACCCCCGCGTCTAGACTAGGGAGATCGGATTTAGACTTTAAGCTAGACTTTTGCGGTGGTGTAGCTCCGCCACTAATAGCCCCATTCCCCGAATGTCGAGAAGCCGTGCCTAAGAAGCCGAAAGTCGTCCTTGTCTTGTCTCGCGGCTCGCGACCAGTCAAAATACTCCAGGTATATCAGTTAGTCCAAAGGCCTGTGTTCCAGAGCGCCTCGATATTTGGTACGAGGACTCCCTACCACAAAGCCATGGCCGACACCACCCCGCGCCAGATCGCCCTTGTCACTGGGGGCGGGTCAGGCATCTCGCTAGCCTTTGTCAAGAAGATCCACGAGGCCGGTTACCATGTTCTAATCGCAGACCTTACTCTTCATCCCACCGCCCCGACATGGATAGGCTCACTGCAGCCAAGCGATGCAGACAGGGTCAAGTTTTTCAAACTCGACGTCACAGACTGGGCTCAACTCGAGGCAGCATTTGACTACTGCGTGAAGATTTTCAACGGCATACCTACCGTCGTGGTACCTGGAGCTGGTGTCTACGAACCCTCAAGCAATTCCTTCTGGGAAGACCGAGATAGCGACTCGAGGTACAAGGTTCTCGACATTAACCTCGTGCACCCTATCAAGACTACACGCATTGCTGTGCGGAGGCTTGTCGAAGCCGATCTTCCGGGAACTATAATCCATCTGTCGAGCATTGCCGCCCAGAGATCAAGTATCATCACTCCGCTATACACTGCTTCAAAGCATGCACTGAGCAGCTTTGTTCGAGGTATGGCACCTCTGGCCCAAACCTCGGGAATTCGGGTCTTGGGAGTTGTACCAGGGTAAGCTACACACATATATATCTTCCCTCATTGATTTGCCTCATCTAACATGCGCGTTTCAAAGAACCGTGTCCACACCACTATTCTCAGAGAAACCCGAAGCAGCCAAATTTCTTGACATGGAGCGAGATTATCTCTTGCCGCCGGATGCTGTGGCCAACGCCATGATGGCTTTACTCACCCAGACTGAAGAGTTTGAGCCAGGCACTATGTTAGAAGTCTGTCATGACACGGAGTGGAGGAAGGTATCTCTTCTTGATGACCCTGGGCCGCAGGGCCCTGCTAGTCTCACTAGTAGGAAGAAAGATGCAGTGAAGGATATCTACAAGTACCTGGCTCCTGGAAAGGCCTCAGCAGATAGTATTACAACTGATTAGCAATGGAGATACGTGCCTATGGATGTATGAACCTGCTTCAGTATCCCGAACTTGGGCAATGATGCAATTACCTGCTCAGTCCTCATGTGACTCTATGAGTATCGCTGCTCTTAGGTTTGAAGCCGCTATGTCTGCAATTTACCATTGAGATAGGATAAAGTGCGGTACCTCAGATTCCTGCTGATTCAGATAAAAGAGCCATTGTGTATGTATATTCGTCTACAGGGGCTTGCAAATAGCAGGTGTCACATAAAGGGACTGGATTAATTAGATTTTAGAGTTTCGGGACCATAATCACAGTGGGAGATAGATTGGCGGGAATTGACTAGTTCTCAATGCTAAGAAACATCCAGTACTTTCTGTTTCATCTAGAAAATACACGATCATTTTTCAGGGAGTAACAGAATTGTATTTGCTCGGCTAATTACTGTAGTGGCTTTGCATGTCTCGAGGGGTAATGCCCAATGGGACAGACAAATAGCTAACTAGAGTGATTGTGGGCAAGCCAAGATGCCGCCTGTAAGCTGAGAAGCCGGGGAAATTAAGACGCCGCGTTAATCAAGATGCCGCACGAGATGCGCGTCCGGACACCGTTGAAACACCGACAGAAGCAAGCCAAGTCTAAGACAGGATTTCTTTTAAAGGATTTGAAGCAACCTAGAACCAGCCCTCCAGTACACTAAATAGACATTACTATCGAATTTTTCCTCAATTGTAAAAGATGCCTCGTTCCAATATTGAGTTTGCCACATCTGACGATGTCACCCTTCGAGGGTGGTTTTACCTGCCATCAACAGCAAATTTATCCAAACTGCCATGCTTGGTCCTCTGCCATGGATTCTCAGCATTAAAAGAGATGGATCTTGACGCTTTCGCCGAACGCTTTACCAGCCGGCTCAAGATGGCCTGTGTGGTTTATGACAACCGAGGACTCGGGGACAGCGACACCGGACCAGGTCAGCCGAGGCAGGATATTGTTCCTGACCTCCAGGTCGCCGATATATCCGATGCCATTACCTTTGCCCAGTCGCGGAGTGAAGTTGATCCGGAGAGGATTGGCGTCTGGGGAAGCTCTTACAGTGGCGGGCATGTCCTCCGCGTTGGGGCCGTTGATAGACGCGTCAAGATAGTTCTCTCTCAGGTTCCGTGTCTGAATGGATGGGACAACTTCAACCGGCTTGTACGGCCAGATTTTGCAGAGTTCATGGAAGGCGAATTCCAGAAAGGTTAGTCAACTTCCATAGCAGTTAATTACATGCTCCTAATCGCTAAAACACGTCTACTTTTCTAGATCGACTCGACCGAGCAGCTGGGAACGCCCCTATCACCGTCAAGGTGGTAGACGAGAATCCACTAGCACCATCTGCGCTCCCCACACCTGATAGCTATGACTTCTTCCAAAAGCTCTGGGCTCCCAAGTCTGCATGGAAGAACGAGGTCACGCTCAAGTCACTGGAGCTCTTCCGTGCCCACGATCCATCGGTGTGGATACATCGCATCTCACCAACGCCACTGTTGATGACGGTCGCGGAAAATGATGTTTTGACGCCGACGGACTTAGCTCTCGAAGCCTACTCTCGGGCACGGGAGCCAAAGCAGCTCTCCATCTTGCCAGGCGGGCATTTTGACGCCTACACTGGAAACAACTTTGAGCGAAATGTGGCTCGGCAGATCGAATTCCTTAAAGAATATTTGGGAGTTGAAGATAACTAGCTTTGTAACTTGCGTTATATAAGGCGACGAATTGATATTACTGTCTGTGTTGGGACAATTTTGAATGCAGTTGAGACTTGTGGCCGAGAGCTTCAATCAGCAGGGAGAACTTAGTTCTTCAGTTGAGTGCATATGACATTAATGTCAATTTTTAATGATACTTAAAGTTGTCTTATCAATCTTCGCATGTAAGTCCTTCTGGAACAAGAATTCGCGTCGCTCCTTGACTCGTCAGTTCTTAAATATCGTCCCATCCAAGTAAACCAACTGAACAAGGCGGAGCAAGAAAGTTATCGCGATTGAGAAGCCAGACCTCCTCCCGAAGTTGATTCGCAAAATGGATGGAAGAATCCTTGTAGTCTTCAGATAGTACCTTTAAATACCTCCAATGGTCCATGCAGTCATCTTCCTGCTCGAGATTGACTCTAAGGAACTTTCTGTCGTTGGCATAGAATGGTGCATGGAGAACCGGATTCTCGTATTCCAATTCGACGCTGTCCTTCTGAGGAGGAGTTCCTTCTCGCCGTTTCAAGTTGTGGTCGATTAGCCATATGTTAACAAATAAGCTGCAAGAAGCGAGATGGAACAATTCCCTCTCACTGTGAAATATGCCCCACTCGACATCGTACTCAATGCCTAGGTTGAGAACACCGCCAAAAGACCACGCTTTTGTATGAAACAGATCAAGTAGATGGATCCAATTGAATTTGAACATGTCATCGAATTGCAAGACAATGAGGTCATTCTTGGGGAAAATTGTGATCCATGACGGGGCACTACCGGAAAGGTAATGGGCAGTTGCTGATCCCAAGCGGCGCTGGTTGGACGCGTCGTTTACCCCGAAAACCCTTCTCATCATAGATCTGGACTCATGGCAAACTGTCCATAGTGAACTGTCGATCAGATATGTCGATATGTCGTGGTCGCTTAAGCCGTTGGTGCTGTCTGGATATTTGTTCCATAACGGGAGCGCAAGGCGAGGGGGGCAAGACAGGCAAGGCGGTAGGCTCCATCGCCTCTGAGACGCGCCGGTGACTGAAAACCCCATAATATCCCTTGCATGTACAGGGTTGTCGGGTTCAGGATCATACACCCGAAATATTTGAACGCCAGGCTTGTCTGGGCGCATGGCCATCTTCTAGATCTGTTCCCGAAGCTCCAGAGGGAGTTGTGAGAAGAGGGGGAATGTACGTTCCCCCATGGTCTTCAATCGTGGTTGTCAATGCTGTTCGAGAGAAGTAGTGCCGGGTAAAGAAGTTGGGCAAATGTTGATGAGTCAAGAGGATTTTAACAAGGGATGGTGAAAATATATATGCCATCTCTATTTGAACGAAATAGAAAGTTTACACGGAGTGACTCAGACTCTAAGTCAGAAGAAGTGATTTGTGATTTGTGCAAATAGGCGTAGCTGCTCGATCTGTATTCATGTCAACTGTATTGCATTTTACCTTTGTGCGTTGAGGATGAAGCCTCTTTTGACCTCTCAACCTTATCACAGCTTGCTATCCGTTGAGTTTGTGGGGAGTTTGTTTCTTCTGGCAGCTGTTCAAGGTTCAAACTTTCGTGAATGTTCAAATGTGCTCCAATGGATAGAGGTGTATTTTTTGCCACAACTAACGAAATTTATCGATGAGTGCACGCACGTGGAGGCACCATATGATTTGCGAAAGCGAATACATTGCTTACAAGCTCTCCCATTCGGCAAGTCCGGATGTTCGACCACTTATCCCAACATCAAAGACGGTCCCACCCAAGAAGTCCCGGGATTGCTCCTGTACGTTGCTCAGACCCCTCATATCGCACTTCATACAACTCATGCAGTCGGTCCGCAAAGTATAACGAGGACTTGCGATGCTCTCCATCTGCAACAGGGTTGATATATTCCCAGTGAGCCAGGCGGTCCCCTCCCTTCTCGAGACCAGTGCTAGAGAACTTTCTGTCGGCCCCATGAAAAGAAACATTCTCACATGAACAGAAATCTTGACCACGCTTTTCATCGCAAGGAGGAGCGTCTACCTTTCGTCTCAGATTATGGTCGATTATCCAAACGCGAGTTCCGTAGTAGACAGCCCTACAGAACCGATCGATCCTGTTCAATACATCGGCTTCAACGCCCCTTTCGTCTTCTTCGTAAAGCTCTATGGCCCACTTGTGTCTGTACTCAATACCAATGTTCCTCATGTCTTGTAAGCGGCCCAATGTCTCACGACCCCATTTTCTAAAGTTGAGCCTGTCGAGCTTAAGGATAACTAGATCATTACTGTAACAGATTGTGAGGTACAAAGGAGGACCACCAGAGATGTAGTACCCCTTCCACGAAGGAAAGCGAGTATATTGGAATGGCTTATTCTTAAAGTGCTTTTGTATCGTGAGCCTTGACTCGTGGCAAGCTGTCCACAAGCCGACATCGGTTAAGTATGGCGATATATTGAAATCGCCGTCACTGTCGACGACAGTGAGATATTTGTTCCATAATGGAATGGACAAACAATTACCGGTCTGTGAAATGAGTCGGTAGGCAGAGCGACGACGAGGGAAATGGATTGTGTCTTGTGGGCGACCTAGGACTCTCGAGCCAGGGACGTGTAGACGTAGCGTATGCACCGCTGGCAGATCTGGCCGAATAGCGTCCTCCCAGATTTTTAGCCTAAGCTCTCTTGGAAGTGCTGAGAATAAGTGGAATGCTGATGCCATTTTGGAAGTAGCCCAGAATAGTAAGTGTAAAGGTTGTGCGATTATGTTCGGGCTCTAAATGAGGATACCGCCGAGATGAAAGGTGGGCGACGTGGGCTGAGTAGATGAGGGAAAACGGAGAGGGCACCTTATAAACAATAACGTGATTAGGGCTCTAGGCAGGATGTCACCAATGCCATGCGAAACAGAGTATGGAAGTATCAAATGTCATTCTTTTCTCTCGTGGCCTTTCATTGGCCTATGTGGTTTGTGAGAGGGATAGAGTTCGTTACAGCAAAGCTTGCATCTCATCTCGACTAAGGCGCGTGACGTAAGTATCAGCTGTCAGGTCTGTCAACTCAAAGAAACACACTCATACACACAGTTCAGGCAGCATATAAGCTTGCATCTAAGGCCAAACCCTTCCACCTGCGTCAGGCTTAAATGAAGTCGGGTCACAAATTGTACCCAAGTTCAAACCGCTTGAGACATTAAACTTTTGCGTTTGCCAATTTATGTATCTGACTTATTGAAAACACACTTCTGTATAATGGGAGCAGTCCTGCATCTATGCTTCAATACGTATCCCACCCAAGAAGATGTACAGAAGTAGGCAAAGCCTCAGACTTATTTTGTCGCACCCTGTCGTAGTGTGCATCTAGCCATAGTGCGAACGCGAATGAAGACTTTTCAATACATCGAGCTGGCTCGATATACTCCCACTTATTCAGAATATCTTCACCCCGCATGTCCACCTGTATAAGCCTCCTGTCGCGTGCATAGAAGCACAACCCGTCATAAGGAGGAGCGTTTGCCTTCCGCTTTAGGTTGTAATCGACAAGATATATGCCTTGCCAAGTACAGCTTTCGAACAGGGTTAAAATATGGTGAAATGCTGGACATTCTCCTTTATCATAGCGCTCGTCAAAACGTTGCTGTCCCCAGTCTGACTCATATTCGATGCCAATGTGCGAGAGGCGGTAGCTCAGGTCCTGATCAAAGCCTTCCAGGTTGAGGTCTGTACTGTCCGGCCGCAGGATGAGAAGGTCATGCGCTGGATTTATTGTGAAATAAAGTGACGCACTTCCAGAGATGCAGTAGCCCATGACTGGCTCGGGGACACGAACTTTGCTGCACTCGATACTCCTGGGCCTTGGAAAGGCTTTTCGCATCACGGTCATGGATTCATGACAGGCAGTCCATAGTCCAGCATCAATCATATATGTTGACACACTCTTCGCGCTAGGGTTGTTGGCGGGATCCTCGTGGGCTAAAGGTACAGCAAGACCAAGCTCATCGCAATTCAGTTCACGAAATCGATCCTTGCTGTATGAGAAATGGACGGCCTTCGGAGACTGATGATCCCAAGAAGTACCGTAAACTCGGAATATGTGAACTCCTGGCTCTTTCGGGCGAATAGCTAGACTCCAGATCTGTTGCCTTAGCTTGGCTGGGAGAGCAGAGAAGAGATGGAACTCAGTCGGCATGATTAATAGTAACCGGGTCTGGGATGTAGGAGATAGGTTAGATAAGCGCCAGTGAAATGGGTAGGTGCAGGGGAGGACTTTAGTTGCGTGTCGAAAGAAGTGGAAATGGTGTCAGCGAGAAAGGTCAGACAAGGGATATATATATTGCCAAATGATTTAACTTTACGAACACCAAAATATCTGAGTCATCATGAGTAAACTGAGTTATATTTAAGTACCTCAGACGTATAGGGTTTGTTACCCAGCCACGAGCAGTGCACACGTAATCCGTGCGATGGAAAAGCAGACATCCATCTGGGCTGGGTGATTCCACTACTCAAAATCGACAAACATTCTTCCGCCTGAAAACGAAAACTTCTGCTTCAAAATCTTAAAAGTCATCCCATCCGAGAAGGTCTATCCAGGGCCCGAAAGTTGCTTCATGGTCGTCCATTCCCACTTCGTCAAAAGCTTCCACCATACGCTTCGCAAAATAGAAAGAAGACTTGCGATAGTCTCCATCTGGAATTGGGTCGATGTATTCCCAGTGTTCCTCTTTCCTTTCGTCGTCCGGATCCGCCTCGACAAGCCTCCTATCCCGTGCGTAGTAGCAACCAAGATCTTCAGGCCTGGGCCTATAAGGAGAATCTGCCTTGAGCTTCAGATTATAATCTACTAGGCATACACCTGAAACCGTTTGATCCCAGCCTAGACCTGTAATCAGTCTTGCCGCTTGACAAATCTCGCCACCTTGTTCCTCAGCATAAAGTTGCGATCCCCATTCGGGTTTGTACTCAATGCCCAAAACTAAATCAGTTTCACTAAATGCCCCATAGATCTCCCGAAAGTCGAATTCCAGACTGTCCGGTCGTAAGATAAAGAGGCTATGTCCTGGTTTTGTAATCGTGACGTAGAAGGGAGCACTGCCAGATAGATAGTACCCCATCGAGTCAAAGCTGTATCCCTTGCGTGACACAAAGGCTTTCCTCATCATCAACCTCGATTCTTGGCAAGTATTCCACAACTCCGGATCGTGAACCTGTGTCGAAATATCACTGATGCTCTCCCCAGTCACACTGGCGAAATCTTTGTCTGGCAAAGGTATACCCAGAGCCAAGGGGGTACGGTAGGGGGCGAAGCCCGAGACGTTTTTGAGCTGAATTGAAGGTTCTTGGGAAGCATCGAATACTCGAAAGACACGAACTCCTGCGCGCCTTGGGCGAATAGCAATGGCCAGGTCCCCAATTTCTTGCCTAAGCTCAGTTGGGAGAGCAGGAAAGAGATGGAACTCAGTCGGCATGATTGAAAAGCGTCGGTCCAAAAGCGTGAAGAGATGAGAAAAGTCTCGGTTTGACAGACGATCCGCGATCCTGTTGAGGGTAGAAGAATCGCTATGTGCGATGGAAGAAGGGCAAATTATCTCGTCCAAAACGGCCGGACATGGAGAGTTATATATGCCACATCAAATGATCAAAAACTTGAAAAATACTCCGCTTGAGTCATCAGTAAGGATGAAGCGCATCATACGTGGGGACTGTGCGGAAGTGTAAAGGAAACAAAGCTATCACACCGGATGGGTTTATTGGACAGCATCGGTTATAACGGAGTTAATTGATTGGTGGTTAAAGATTATGACTTCTCAACGAGACATATCAAGCCAACACACTGAGAAGTCCAAATTTACTTCAGCTTTTGGAAGGCAATATGACAGCAAAGTTTGTATCTTGGCATATTGGTCACTGAGCACGATCCGTACTAACCTCCGCGCGATTATAATGAGCTATCAATCACAGGCACGTATCACATAAAGCCCATAATTTAGACATTTTGATGCAGGCGCTCCAACAACACCCGAGCTCGATAATAAACAGAACATACTTTATTAGGATTAAAAGTCTCTACCCTAATTTGCCTGTGGTATATCTATCTTCGACTTTCTCTTTGAAGTATTTATCTGCGTCGATAGGCTCACTTGAAAAAGTGATTAGAGATGGTAGCATTACTTGAGATATACTTATTTGTGAGCTGATGAGATACTTTGCAACTTCATCCATTCAGAGCCAGCATCATGAATTTTCTAGATCCTCCCATCCAAGAAGCCCGATTTGATCTTCGTGATGCCGCCCTGGGAAACGCCTTGCCGCTCCATTTGCGAGCCATGCAGAGTGAATAGATGACGCCTCGTAGTCTCCGCCAGCCACAGGATTTATATACTCCCACTCATTCAAGTTATCTACCATATCATGGAGAGAAACTTGAACAAATTTCCTGCCACTGGCGTAGAATTGCATTGTGTCTCTACCATAAGACGAAGGGGCACCTGCTTTCCGTTTCAGGTTTGTATCAACCAGCCACAAACGGCGCTTTGGCAATCTTAGAAGTAGAAGGATGGCGGTAAGGATCACATCTGGTGAAACGATAGAGGTGTCATTCGCCAAGCTGGCGTCCGTCCATGCTAAATCATACTCGATACCAATTTCCTGACAAGACCCCATAAGCCAAGGGGGAGAACTCGGAGTCCAAAGAAACTCTGAAATACGGGCCTGGGTGTTCCGCTTGCTAGCGGCGAAATTGCCAATTTGTAGAATGAGAAGGTCTGAGCCTGGCCAGATAGAAAAGTAGAAGGGGTTACTACCTGAGCAATGGCTCACTCTTCCAGGCTCGGGTAGTCCATAGGGGCTGTTTGAGGGATTGGCGAAGTGCTTCCGAATAACACGCCTCGATTCTTTGCAGGCGGTCCACAGTCCGGAATCGATCATGTAGGTGGAGATATTCTTGTCTAGCGTTCCATCGAGGCCCTTATGATACTTAGAACATAGGGGAGCGCCAAGATACCAGGGCCTGGCGTCTTCCCTCGCCATGAGGCTTGCCCAATAGCTGGCTTTAAACTTCTCATATACGTTGTAGAGATAATTCATGAATGAGCTACTCATAGGTCTATTCTCGTCATGAGAGGGCGGGTTGTGAATCTGAAAGATTTGGACTCCACGGTGGTGTGGTCTCATAGCGAAATGCCATATCTGGTCTCTGAGTTCTCGCGGAAGGAGAGAGAATTGGTAGAAGCTCGTAGCCATCGTGACGAGAGAAATCCGGTGGAGATAAGGAGCACGAGCACTTCTTATGGAGAAAATGATGAGCCAGATTTTGTGTCGAGGTAAATTAGCAAGGAGGAGAAAAGGAACGGCTCCAGATAAAGGAAAGGGATTTATGTAATCGAATGATATGGAAGCTTATTTCATTGGATTCTTCGTGAAAGATTAAACTTTTATCGTACAGTATGCTTCTACAATGCTGATTCATCGTGAAAGCTTCTGGGTAAAAGCTTATATTGAGGAAAAAATTCCGTGTTCTTATTCGTTACCTGTGTTTGCAGCCTAAAGGTTAACCTTATAGGTGGCAGTCATACCCATAGTTCCACAATGTTGATCACTTGACTGGAATAAAGTTTCAAAGTCGTGAACGCAACTCAGTCTTGTTCTGTAGCAATTGGTCAGACATTTTGGTATGATGTCTAAGTTGTGAGCTAGATGTGTTATTTGCAGTTGAGACTTGTGGCTGAGAGCTTATTCCAGCAGACAGAACCTAGAACGTAGCATACATCAATCCCCGCGAGGGTGTCTTGATAAGCAGCCTGAGTTGTTATCTAGACGTATTATTGGCAGTTGGAACTTGTGGCCTATGACACTCCAGAGCCTCGGGTTATACTTCTCGCGCGTATCGTGGAAACTTCCCTCAGGCACAGACGACTTGACGCCGCGAGCATCCTGAACCTATTGCCGACGGAACGCATTTGTTAAATAAGCTCAATAAATAGTTGCCCCTCTCGGGTCATATCCTCAAAGTGAATGTTTGTCTTTTCTGTGCAGAAATGTCCTACTCTCATGTATTGAGCCAGTGTACCTTCTGCCTGGTTCGAAGTACCGGACGCCGCTCGAACCAGAATTCCATGGATTTGTGGCGTTCGAGTCATCAGGCCAACTCTGTGATTTACAAACTCGAGGACGGGCAGACATCTTATCTCGCCCCGCTCATGGTTCTCCAGCGTATCGTACACGTATTTTAATGACGAAGGACCAAACGATCGGAGCTGGCAGGACAGTTTCAGCGTGGCATTGTGGGCCATGCCGTTAACCACATGTGTACCTTGAATCTCCAGGTCTGATACCAGGGACTCTATATACTCCCATGAATTGGGAACGCTGCTGACACCGACCGTTGAGCTAGCTCTTGAGCCAGATTTTGAACTTGGGTCGACTCTCTTGAGGCGGTGCAAGATCTTGCCATCCACTGAGGCCCAAGACCATGAGGGAACACATCGGCCATACGGTCGCCTTTTGACTCCAGCGTCTCTGACCCAGAGGAGATTGAAGGGTAATGTGTCTTCCCAGAGGCCAGCAGCGTACTTGAAGCCCATACTCTGCTGGATGAAGTAGGCCACACCCGCAATGGCCATCATCTTGTCGTCATCATTCGTTAGGTTGCGGACCGAGTAGCTCGTCACCATTTCATACCACCGCAGGTGGAATTCTGCCTTCTCCTTCATATCCTGTCCTCTAAAAGACCAAAGAAAGCTAAAAGCTCCCCTGATACTGAGTCGTGCGGCGTTGGTTCTTATAGATGACATTTGCGCGTCATAGCGTCGTTTCTTATTAGCCCACAGTTTATGCTCGGGGTTGGCGTACCAGCGTTTTTTAACTGTGTTTTTGGCCGGACGTGTGACAGGTCTTGTAGAAATTCCGGCGCGTCGTACAATTGTCCTGCTGCAAAGCTGCTTGGGTGGTTCACGACCTGGATTAGGAACCGTCGGCGCGTTCAGAGTTCCATTCTGGCTGAACTGGGTGTTCCGAGGATATTCTTCTTCCCGATGACACTCAGAGGTAGTCAATGTGTTGCACTCAAACATCATAAGACCTGAGCAGAAGTGCAGAATCCTGCTGGCCAAAAATCTTTCTTGAAAGGTCCAGCCTCTCGTGGCTAGAAACGAACAATCCACCTTTTCCCCGAAGAGCTGGACCAGGTCG